CCGACAGCGCTTATGGTTCACTATATATCTGTTCGTTAGGTGATATTAACCCAGATCAGCTGCTGACTCATAGGTGGTTTCACCGGTTAGCGCCAGGAAAAAAAAAAAAAAAAATACTGACGTTCCCTTGTTGTTCCATAACACACCCGAACTACCGTAAAGTCTTTATCCCCGGAGCCCACGCGTACATTCAGTTTTAAACAGTACTACGGAAAGTGTTGGGCAACATTTCAATTTCGCCGACTTGTTTTTAAACACTTGTCCAGCTGCTTTGTTGATATTCGCCTCTTCCGCAGATCCTGATGACGTAGTTGCAGACATGCGCAGTCGGGACCAGCTTTGTTGAGTTGCTACATGCTAGCTACGCCGCTAATCAGTATTTCCTGCCTGCCTGGGACTGGACTCAGCTATGGATATCGACGCTTTGGTGGAAGCTTTTCAAGGCAATGTTTACTCTTATATAAGTTATTTATTTATTTATTTATTTTAGAATTTGACGATTTTGAGTTTGATTTTATTTTCTTGATTAAATCACCATTTATTTTGGTAACTACGGATCGCACGTTTACCGTTCGACATTTTAGCATACCACCAGCAACAACTAGCGTTTAAGAACATCCGAACATGAAACATTAGTCCTTATTTGACCCGATTGCTTTCAGGTTATATCTTGCAAGAAAGCAGTCTGTTGCATTTGACATTTTTTACTTTTTTTGTACTGTATCTCATACTTAGTGATTATGTAAACAGCTAGCTGAAATACTGCTAACAATGCACTGCTAACTTTACAACAAATATAATTTTCCGTGCAGAAAAGCGGCACTATTTGTCTTCTCGTTTTTTTTCTTCTTAAATAAGTACATTTACTTTAACACAGGTGGTTAAATGTATTTTACATTTATTAAATCAAAGTCACCTTGGATGTGTATTAGAAGTTGTACTTGAAATAATGCAAATTTAGCAATTTTCAGTAAGGAATATTCTACCTTTGCGAGCATTAGTTCTGATTGATTAAAAAAATGTGTTTCTTGTTGTTTTTAACCAGTTGGATCCTTGTTATTAACAGCCATTCATGTGATTGTTTACAGATTTTGACAAGAAAGGGAAAAAAGAGATATGTCCTGTTCTAGAGCAGTTCTTGTGTCATGTTTCCAAGACAGGACAACCAATGTGAGTAGGAGCTTTGCAGACTGGTTTATACACTTCACAAACAAAACAAACAAACAATAATAAACAAAAAAATCAAGCCTTTGTAATTTGGTCCCATGAAAAAATAACATGTTTTTTTTCATATTCTAGGATCTTGTGGTCACAATTCAAATCATACTTCATGTTTAAGTTGGAAAAAGTCATGAACGATTTCCATGCTTCAATGCCGGAACAGAGAGGACCACATAACCCCAACGTTGAGTACGTTCCCTTTGAAGAAATGAAAAAAAGGATCTTAAAGATTGTTGATGGTTACAATGGGTAAGTGGAGTTATTGCCCTGAAGGCTTTGTAAATTGAGAAAGCGATTACCATAGGCTACAAACATACATGCCCGTCCAAATAGCCTAATAAATCCAATTCAAGCCAAAATAGATCAAGATTTAATCCCAATTACAGCCAAGTTATTCCTATTATGATACGATATATACACATGCAGTGAATGTAATGTGAATATGCCTATTATAAAATGTTATATRTCTTAGAAAGACAGCAGATGGCTTAGAAAACTTCACTTCAGTGCAACCCTCTTGCTTGCAGTGGAAAGGAACAACTCTCTTTTAACAGTAAGAAACCTCCAGCAAGCAGAACCAGGCTCAATATGTGTTAGCATGTGCCTCAACTAGCTAAGGGCTGATGGGACAGGAAAGAGACAAACACAGTTTAATTTCTATGTTAAGAAAAAAAATGTTGACAGCAACAATTGCATGTGCAAACATGAAGCATAGAGAGATGTGCAATGAGGAGATATGGTCAGTTGTCCTGCAGCTAGGGCTGCCACAAACGATTATTTTTATAATCGATTAATCACCCATTATTTTTTTCCGATTAGTCGACTAATCGGATCATACGTTAATTGAATATAAAACATACAGCTTATCGTGCCAGAATGCAGCTGCTATAATATAACCATCGTTAGATTTTAGCTAAATGCTAACTAAAAATAATTGCAGTGGAAGGCAAGTTCTGCTCTGCAGATATTGCACAGGTTTCTCTTTCATTTTCTTAAAATGATCCCACACTTTTGAGCTCCGTTGTCAGGTAGTCATGATATCAGAGCCTGTCTGTATAATGTAGCCTGTATAATGTCTTGTGACATCCACGGCCTGCCCTGGTTACCTCTACCATGCATGTGTGTCACCGACAGAAAGGCAGATGTGGCAGTGGAAGGTGTCAAAGCAGTTTGGAGAGAAAAACAAAGTAAAGAACAAAAAAAAAAAGAAAACGATTAATCGATTATTAAATTAGTCATCGATTTATTTTAGTAATCGATTAGTCATCGACTAATCGACTAATTGTGGCAGCCCTACCTGCAGCATAAGAAAAATCTTGTGGTGATGCTGATATTTAGATTATGCGTTCCTAAAAGTAAATATCTGTTCTAGAATTCCATTCACCATCCAGCGCCTGTGTGAGTTGCTTACGGATCCCAAGCGGAATTATACAGGTACAGACAAGTTTCTCCGAGGCTTGGAAAAGGTGAGAAATTCACGATACTGCTTTTATATAAAACTCTATAAACTTTTAGTTGTATGTGTTTATTCTGTTTAATAATAATTTGATACTGTTTGGTTGTTGCAGAATGTAATGGTCGTCAGCTGTGTTTACCCCACATCAGAGTAAGTGCATCATTAGCTAACTATATGCCCTCTTTGCTTTCCTGGCAGCAGTTTCAAACCTGAAACATGTAATTAAAAGTTCACCTAACAGGTATTTTTCTACCYCTTTGTTTCCGTCAAAGGAAAAATGGAGCATCGAGCTTAAACAGAGTTAACGGAGTGATGTTTCCTGGGAACTCCTCTCTGTATTCAGACAGGTGGGAGTACAGTCCTTATCAATATATGTAATAGTCTGGCACATCTTTGTAGAAAAATCAGAAACGACCAGTAAGGCTAAATCTATCTTAGGGTGAATTTGCACCTGATACATTTGGTCCTCTTTAAATGAACCAGAGTTCATTTCCCCCGTTGGGCCGGACTATTTATGCAGGTGTGATAGACTCATGCGAACCCAGGTGCGGAGCAAACAACCGGATCGAGACCCATTTTTGGGGTGGTCTCGGTCTGCTTCCGAACGAATTCTGGTGCGGTTTGTTTCAGACCGGCCTCGAACCAAACCAACAACAGGAAACATGCGCCTCTGCGTTTCACGAGCTACCATTGCTAAGCATCATGGTAACATTTAGTTCTTCAGTGTTGCTAACACTACCACTACGCTACAAACAATGAGCCGCTGTCGGTCGGGGCACGCAGAGCATCTTGTCTTTTTTGGGTTGCGGCATGCATTTGTCAACGCCATCCCAAAATTAGAAGCGTATCATTAGCTGTGTTTCCATCAGCGTTTTTTAATGCGCATTTTGAAGTATCACATCAGAAAAGGTGAATGGAAATGGTGGGATTCAAAAAAATTTCCTCTAATTTGCAAAAATTTGATACACTCACATGGTGTTTTTTTTTTTCAATAAAGAGTTATTGTGCAAAAGGAGATATGGAAACACATTTGCCGAATCAGTTCTGATGTAGCGAACATTTACCTCACATGGTTGATCAGCTGTTCTCACTGTCTGAACGGTACTGGTACCGATACCAGAGCGACTGCAGCTGGACCCTCCTCCCGCCTTGGCGTCTTCTCAGTTATTCTGCAGACAGCATGTAACATCACCAGAACTAGTTGATGACAGAATAATTACAACTTTCCTGACAGTAGCAACACATTCCTGATAACTTCTCTCCATTTTCCCAAGAGTGTGACTTTTACTTCCTGTTTACTACACACATGTGTCTGACGTAATTGATTCGCTTCAAGCCAGTTGATGGAAACACGTCTGATTCGCATTTCTTCGTTTTTTCCTTTTTGCGAAATTTTACAAATTCGCTCAAAATTTGAATTAAGTTTGGATGGAAACACGGCTATTGTGAAACCGTTTTTGAATGAGCTGCTCTTGAAATTCTAAATAGTATTGCAGCTATATTTACAGCACCATCTTTATTTCTGGTCCGTGCTCTGTCCTGCCCCCATCATTTCTGTCCAATGGGTGCAATGACTGTCACATGCGTGGTTTTGTTTATAAATTATAGTCCACTTGACAAAAAGCACAATGTGAATGCAAACCGTACCAAACAAAAAAAAAATAAAATCCGCTTTTTGTTCGGACCAAACAAGTGAATCAAAAGACTTTACTGGTGCGAATACTGACCTTACTGGTCAGGCTGAGTCTGATTCTGTTGATTGGTTTAATTTATTTTCTGACATTTTTTTTTCTTTTCTTGTGCAGTCGAAATGTGAACGGACCAGGCACACCAAAAACACTCAACAGACTAAAGCTGTCGATGTCGACTTCACTTTCCACTAACGGGCTCCCTGACTGTCCAGTCAATAAAGAACCAGACCCAACCGCTGAGGTGGAGGAGCACCATATGAGGTGTGTGGCACACCTAGTTACTATAATAACTGTTGTCAAGCCAAGGTGTTTCCTCTAAACAGATTTTGTACAAGGATCAGTATTTAGTCAGAATAATCGTTTTCATGTGTTTGTGACAGTGAAACATCGCCACCGGTAGATGAAGTGAAACCAAAAAGTGCGATAAAGAACAAACACCCAGAGGAAGAGGAGGACACTGACGGTAACGACCAAGAGGCCAAGAGGCCGAAGTTTGATGTAAAAGAAGAGGATGAAGCAAAAAGTGAAGAAGATGATGAAGTAAAAAGTGAAGAAGAGGAGTCGTCTTGTCATAAAAACACTGAGAGCCTGTCTAAGTCGCAGGAATCATCAGAAGACTTGTGTGATCAGCAGCGCAAAAGTGAAACATCTTGTGACACACCTGGTGACACAGATATCCCAGGTAAGAGTTTATTCTCAGGCTGATGTGTGCAAACAGATAGATTGATCAAGTTCTTTACTCAGACCAGAGAATTGTAGTTTACAGGGAACCCATCTCAAAAAACATTCATAGAAAGGTTTCTTTTTTTAAACACTAAAGACGTCACTGAACAGATAAAATAACAGCTCATCTTGTTAGAACATGGTGTTCTGCTGTGAAAGCCTGCATCTTGACATTTGCACGGATGCTAATTTGACATTCAACACCCATTGAAAGATTTTTTTAAGAGCTCACTCCACCAAACACGACCAAAAGAGAACTCGATAAAAAAACTGAGGTAAAACTTGGCCTCTACCCTCCAATCTGATGGGGCGTAAATCACTTTCGTTGTGGGTTTTCTATGACCTCTAAACTTTTTGTCAGTTTGGGAAAACCCCCTTCTTTTACACCCACATTGCCAACTGTTTCTCTTGTTTATAACTTTGGAAGATGGTATACAAACAGAGCATTTTTTTAGTGCTCCTCGTGTACTGTTTACTTGGCTTATTTGAGAACATTTGATCATGGTTTAAAATGGGATCTGATGTATTTATATACAGAGGATTCACAGAGAAAAGAAAACTCTGGGGAGAACGCTGAAGATGTCACATAACACATCTGGAAACATAATAATCTTGCTCATGCAAATTTGAACTTTGTATGATTTAATTTGTATTAAGAAAATCATTTCTAATGGGAGGCCCATTACCACTAGATTACATAATGCCTTAAGCACAATGGCTCTGGTCTAATTAACTTATCATGAAAAGACTAGTAAGTTAAGGCTTTACAGATTTCTGTCGTTGCCCACCTTTTGGGTACAAAAAAATCTGTTAGCTTCCTCCTCTTTGTATTGCTTATTTTTAATCTTTTCCTCTAGAAATTCAACAATGAAAACACTTACTCTCCTTACAGTATTTAAGTGAAATTAAGGCTTCATTGACAATTAAGTGAGGTTTTTAGCCGACGGACGCAAACCGGTTCATTCTCACTGTTAGCAGTACATAATGTTCAATTAAATTAGCACTTAGCCTTGAGGTTAGACTTTAAAATATCAGGTTAGAAATATTGCATCTTGCTTTCTATTTCTAAGCAGGGAACGTTAACTCTTCAAAAGGCTGAAAGGAACTTTCTATAGAGTAGCTCCGATGATTGTTTAATTTAATTGTCAGTAATTTCACCTACCTTGCCTACTGTATATACCCTGCTGTCTGTGCTGATTGAGTCGGATCAACTGAACAATGAGGGATGTTGCCACTTAAGTGAGAACTGTAGAGAGGAAAACGGTTCAATAATTTTTGATCACAATCTGTTTGATTTGCCACAGTAGGAAATGAACCACAAGGTTTCCTATCGTGGTCCTAGTTGTTAAAAACATTGGGCCTCATGCAAGAACATGTTCGTATTCTTATCCTAAATTTCTCTTACTTTTGTTCGTGTGAAGGGTTCGTACGAACATGCCACGTCAGATTCAACAATCTTCTATTTTCAGGAAAAGTGTGTAAATGAGCTATGTAAACTGATGAATGCGTATCGGGTGCTCGTTTACGAGGACAGGTAATTAGCATAATTACCACCCCAAAAACACCATATAAGGCTATGTTTCCTGCCACACATACCAAGAAATGTCCATTCATAAATGACATTGCAAAGTAAAATTTTGGATTTATGATAACTGGATTCCTGCTGATCAGCTGTGGAGGAGTCCTGGCTTATCGGAAAATGGAAGAGATCCTGACATCTGTCCGGGCCTGTGAGAGGCCGTTAGGAACCTTGGACGAAATCTCCCGTACTGGAAATGCACAGACTCAGATGCTGGGGGAAATAAGTCGCAAACTGGATGTGATTCTAACGAGAATCGCAACTCGGCATCATGCCCATGAGATGTAGGATTACACCTGGGTGAAGTTTCAGATGGAAAGAGGCGAGGAGGTGATGAAATTTGGAACATTCTGCTTTTTTCCCCCACCATTTCAGAGATGCAGTTACGACTGTAAAGCGGCTAGAAGTTTGAGGCCTCTTGTCCCAAAACAATTGTGTTTATCTTTCGGATACCAGCAGCTGCTGGCCTTGGTCAGTCGGCAGTTTTCAAAACTTCCCTGGATGATATGTGAACAGAGGACTGATTCCCCACTCCTATCCCCATATCATCCATGAGGATCAGTCTGAAGGCTGTGGTGACAAAGGGGAAACCCTGAAGTCTGGGACTGAGCTGGGGAGGATAAGATCTGTCTTTGGACTCTGGCGGGTCCTAGGGTTGTGCGATATTGGCAAAAAAAATAATCACGATTAATTGTGGTATTTAGCCGATAACGATTAATTTGACGCTTACTCCCCTGGAGTCCCTGGATACCCTTATGTCCTATTCACATGACCAATTTAGGGGGAAATATTTGCTCTTCATAAAAATCTGTTCCAAATTGTCAAATTAACAGACTTCAGGCTATACATCAAATTTTAAATTGTGTTGATAAATAAATTACAGATTTTTTTTAATGTTCGTCATATTTGAAGCGGAGAGGAGCATCGAGCAGACCGACCGGGGAAATATCCAGTCAGTCTGCCTGGTGGCATTAATCGTATTAATCGTCAAGTGCCAAAAAATAATCGATTAATGTTTTTCTGACGATTACTTGTACACGATACGATTATGCCCAACCCTAGCGGGTCCTGGTCTTGGATTGGTTCCAGCACCGAGTATTAACTTGGAACGTCACCAGCTCCACTAAATCCTGCCCCCAGTACTATGTGTTTAATCCCTAGCCCCCTACCCTCCCCAGCTGCCTTGCTTTAGCAAGTCGTTTTTTGTGCATATGATTCTGTTTATGAGTAAACATAGGATCAGAGCAACTTTTTTTTACTCACCTATCGTGTGTTTTTTTCCAAACTGCAAAATGTAGCGCAACCGTGTTTGCGCTAGACCTGATCATCCGTTCACCCCCATGTTTGTTATGTGTGTCTTTGCAGTTAAGAACGGAGTGTTCTTAACTGCAATTTTGTTCTGCATTGCATCTTCGATGTTGTGTGTGAATGACAATAAAGCTGATTCTGATTCTAAAAAGAACAACCTTACAAGTTCGGAGATTGAAGTCCTGCTCTCAGAGATCCAGAAAAAAATTTAATTTTTAGCAGCGTCAGCAGTGGAATTAAAGGAGCTGCTAAAGCCAAGGAATGAAATGATGACTGCTGTTAATGCCGTGTCTCCTGTGGGTCGTATAAGGTCACAGAAATAAAAATCTAAATCATATTCATCTCTCTTTAGTCCTGCTCCGGTTTTTCTTTGGTCAAATACTTTTAAGTGTAAACAACTGTGTTACATAGTTTTCATTTATTTAGAAGAAGAGCAGTCGCGCACCGCTACACCCACCCACCACCCCCACCCCGGCCTGGTCGTCTCCCCATGCCGACTGTCGCAAGTGTTAGATGCGGTCCTGAAAAAAGGCATTTTAAAATGTCTCCAAACTACAATTAATGCATAATTTAAGTTGGTTTTTAGTTTGAGATCTTCATATTAATATTGTAGTGTTATACAAA